ACATACACATACAGGCATACTGAGACACACACACATATACAGACACATGCATAAGGAGATACAAATACACACACATACATACAGACATACACACACACACACACACACACACATACTGACATACACACACATAAATACATACTAAATGCATACATAATGGCATACATACACAATGATAGATAGATATATATATATATATATATATATATATATATATATATATATATATATATATATATATATATATATATATATATATATAAAATATATTACACACACACACACACACACAAATATATACATACACATACATACTAATAGATAATGTTTTGATCCTGATGAAAGTTCCAGATAGGAACTGAAACGTTGATCTTTTAAATGGAATTTCAATAAACTGCAAGTTTTAAACTCAATAAAAGTCCGAGAGTGCTGATCACTACTTCACCATATGCAATTTTTCCCTGGATTACAAGCACCCGGCTTACAACTGTCTACAAGCGTGAGTGCAAGGAAACCCTGTATGTTGTACTAATAGATATAGATATATTCATACATACCGACAGACAGACATACATGGATTAAACACACATATATACTGACAAACAGACAGACAGACAGACATATATACACACACCCTCATTTTTCAGCCACCCTCCTGTTCCTTTCCTTTTCGTTGCAGGAGGGTGGCTGGGCATGATGGGAGCAGATGCCTCTCCTCGGCTGTCTCCCTCCCCCCTGCGCGGAATAAGCTGGGTGGAAGTGACTGGCCGTCACTTCCTCCCAGCAGCACTTGCGGTGCAGCTGCATTTTTTTTAATTTTATTTTTTTTAAAGGGGCCCGGTCGCGGTATTACACGGCTGCAGCTGACCGGGCCCCTGAAGATATAGGGCTCATCGGGTGGCCCTAAATGCTTGGGCCACCTGATGGGCCCTGGTGCAGATGCACCTGCAGCGGTTTCGCCGCTCCACAAGGGGGGCGGCCGGGCCCGTGACAGCCGTCATGGTTGTCACCCCCGATGGCGGCCCTGCAGAGCTATCTTCTATTGTTCTTGCAATTGCTGTAAGCAAGTGTTGAGTCTTTTCCAGCACGGGCATTTGGTACAAGATTAACCCCTTAAGGACACATAACATGTGTGACATGTCATGATTCCCTTTTATTCCAGAAGTTTGGCCCTTAAGGGGTTAAACTAAACGGACAGTCTTCACACAGATGCACACAATAACAGCAGTCTTCATTTTACCGAACACTTCGATTATACAGATTTTGATGATCCAGATGCCGCTGACTTTTTTTTTTTTTATCTGGATCTTGCAATTCAACTGTTTCTAAACTAAATTTAAAAAATTCAGTTACAAAAATGTTGGAACATCATACCTCCCCACTACAAACTTTGAACCCCAGGTGTATAGCAAAACAAGGCCTCCTCTTTTATCAGCCTGTTTCATCTCAGTAGCGTTGTCTCTGTGTAATTTTTTTGTTTTCTTTTTTTCTAGAATTGAATTTTTCTTTTAGTATACTTTACGGTATTTATGTTCTCTAAAAAAATATATATTTATATATTTTTTTATTTTTTTTTTTTTCAAATATCTCTAGTGCACCTGATTTGAAATGTTATGGATATAATGTAGATTTCTTTTTTCAAAGGGTTCTTACATAAATGTTAACCTTTTCTTTATACCACTCTTTATTTCTGTTCTTTTGCTTAAATAAAAACATTTTAGTGTTGCATTCTCCACAAATGTTTATATCGGTAAGGCATATAAGGGATTGAACGTCTTTGTTGAAGCAAATTTGTAATCCTTTGTTTAACACTCTTAACCCCTTAAAGGGATTCTCTGTTTGTTTTCCTGGCACTAGAGAATCCTGGAGTGCCCCCTTCCCTCCCGCCCCCATCCCATGTCGCTGAAGGGGTTAAACTCCTTCAGATACTTACCTGAATCCAGCGCCGATGTCCCTCGACGCTGGGTCTGGCTCCACCCACTCTCCAACGTCTGCCAGCAGTTTTATAAAAACTGCAATAATTACACTTGCAGGGTTAGGAGTGATGGGAGTTGGCACCCAGACCACTTCAATGAGCCCAAGTGGTCTGGGTGCCTACAGTGTCCCTTTAACCCCTTAAGGATTGCAGGCATGCTACCCAGCGGGCGGCATATTACGTCCCCGTTGTCCAGGGGACTTACTTTATCGCTGGCATCCCAGGGTGTCCCCCTTCTAATCCGGCCGTCCTGGGCCATGTGAACCCGAGGTCCTTGTTAGATATAGATATATACATATATTCTAAATACACGTAGAATATTTTATTATATATATGTCCAAAGAGGTAGCTGCACTCACGGATTTTAAAAGTCCAATCTTTATTTGCCAAAATTAAAAAAAACGATCAATATTTCAGTCCTACATAGAGGACATTCTTTAGGATCAATATAAGCATGCAATAAACATTTAAAGCTTTTGTAGACTAGGATATTAACTAAACTGACTTACCAGGTGAAGTGAGTCCCTGACCGGTGCTCAACCGCGCTCAGTGCGCCAGCGCTACCAAGCTCCGCCCCCACGTACCACCGTGACGTGCTGACGTCTTGTTAGTTTCCATAGTGACGCGGGTATATACAGCGTCACTATGGGAATACAAAACATAAGTGCCGTGAATGAATATATTACTACACGGTCAAGGGATCTATACAGTGATAGAGAAAGGATGAATCTAATGAAGATACAAAGTGCTAAAGTGCAGAAAGGAATGTACAATAATACATAGAAGCTTTACAGTTGCCAACTGATAGGCATAGATTAAGGTGTAGCCTTAAAGTGACAGGCCTTAATATAACTATGTGATAAATGTTGAAACACCAAAGGGTGTTGTTCCATATTAAAGTGATATGTGCAATTAATACAAAGTGCTGGTGGTATGGTGATAGCTGGTGCCAACATGTGAAGAAAAGACTGAAAAATCACTTAATTATAAGGAATTATCAAATAAACATGTACATATCAATTCTGGTGTGTAAAAGTAAATGTTATTTATCTAGGATATGTTACTAATGTAAACAGTGCAAGGAGAAAACAATAGACATATCTTGACATAATATCGATATGTATAAGATGTTTCTAGAATAGTATGTAGTGACAAAAGTGTCATTAAATGTTATGATTATTAAGATTAGAATTATGCCCTTATGACTACATAAGTATTGACCCAATAGCTACATTTTCTTGTAGCCTTCGATATTATCATAAAATAACATTAAACAATATAACCTAAAATTCAAGCTGGAAAAATATACATAAAAATATAAGTGAAAAAAAAAAATTCTAGAAAAATATTAATAAAAACTAATGGAAGGAGTCTCTTTCATTCCTCTGGGAGACAGGGTATCCAATTCGTAGATCCAGAACATTTTTCTGTTCAATAATGTTCAATAATGTCTTCCCACAGTCTCCAGCTCTTCATGATACAGGAACATGGTCAATAGCTAAAAATTTCAGATAGGCCAGCGGATGCTTATGTTCTAAAAAATGTTTAGTCACTGGCTTGTCGGTTGTCCCATCTCTGTATGCCAGTCTGATGCTGGACCGGTGTCCCCTAATCCTTTCAGACCAAGCCGTCTCCGTTTTGCAATGTTTTGTGGACCCACGACATACTTGAAAACGAGAGAAATCTCAACGTATCTTTCCTGGTAAATATTTTAAAAAATAACCCAGGCAGAAAGTCCAGTGAATTTAATTTGCTAGCACTATATTTAACCCTGCAACTTTCCAAGACACCTTAAAACCTCTACATGGGGGGGAGGGGGGGGTACTGTTTTACTCTGGAGACTTCGTTAAACACAAATATTAGTGTTTCAAAACAGTAAAATGAATTACAATGATGATCTCTTCATTGAAAGTGACTTTTTTGCATTTTTCACACACAAGCGGCACTTACACTGACAATATTGTTGTCATACGGTTTTGGTTTTGAAACTCTAATATTTGTGTTCAGCAAAGTCTTCTGTGTATAACAGTACCCCTCATGTACGTGTGTATATATTTTGCAATTATTTATATTAATTTATTCATAGATATATAGAATGTCATTCTAAGTGTATTTTGTTACACACACACACACACACACACACACACACACATAGAATTTATTTTTTTTGTGTGTTACTTTAGATTTTTTTATTTTACTTTTTTCACCACAGGTGGACTGACAGTCCCCCTGCAGGCAGATTTTAAAAAGGCAGCTATTGGGACTCACATGGCACACGGGGGCCTGATTTGCAGTGGAAGTACTGTCTGGGCTGTCAGGCAGTCCTCCCGAAAGCGAATTGCCAGAAAGGTCCATATCATTGGCGATCCAGGGCTCAATGGCTTTAAAGCCCATTTAAAGCGGGACGGCATAGAACGGCGTTAAGGGGTTAATTGTGTAATGCGTTCTTTTGGATGTTAAAATGCCTGTGTGATCTTCTTGTTCATTATCTGTTTTTTGTTTTTTTGTCTTCTTCCTGACCTTCATCCTATAAGATTATTTTCAACTTTTTATCTGCAGTTTTACAGGATTATTTGTACAATGTAAGGAACCCATTTGTACCTGATTTATAAGGCGTTATATGGGTTATGATTCCCCTTTCATTTCATAAAGAGGTTGAGCCATATATTTGCGTACATCTCTAATGAATAGAATGAAGAGAGGAAGAGAACCTTACAGAATGTGTGCAAGAAAATTTGTATACAAGGTGTTACCTTTTGATGCTCCAATTTCTTTTTAGCAAATTTCTTCATAATCTGGGTCAGACGAGGCAAATCCAAGGCAACACATTGCAAATGAGGAGTGGATATAGAAAAATGTGCCTGCTCTGTAGGTTTTCCCCATGCGGTTTGCTGGGTGCAAAGTATATAGATATAGTGATTGTAAGGTCGTTCAGATGGAGGCTTCCATTTGCCGGATAGAGAGAGATGGATTTATAAATTTAATCCTATTTTTCATACCTTACAATAGCTATTTGTTAAATATATATTGATAACTGACCAGTGTTAAAATCCCAGGAAGTGTATGTAATCATTTGAAAACATAATCAATATAGCTCATCCCATGCCTGTTTTTTTTTTTTTCAGTTTATTTAGAGGATCTCAAAAGGCAGCATATTATTTGTATTTACACATTTTGGTGTGCCAGCTAATTCATACATTCTTGCTAAGTTTGCTCGACTTATGTAAACTATGACTAATTTGTAAATGTCTGAGTATATTTTTAGAAAATGTTAAAATATCATCATAAACGAGGTTTCCTAATTTTTAATAGGTAAGCCAGCTATTGCCCATAGAGATTTAAAATCAAAAAATATATTGGTTAAGAAGAATGGAACCTGCTGCATTGCTGACCTTGGACTTGCAGTCAGACACGATTCTGCCACAGATACTATTGACATTGCACCAAATCACAGAGTGGGAACAAAAAGGTATGTATATTACTTTAATTATCTGCAGTAGGTTTAAAAAATGTTTTAATTATGTTCTTGGTAGGCTTTATTAATATTGTTTGAGGTTACCAACTCCTATCCTTCAGACAGTTTTCGTATATTTAGATTCAGTTAATTACCGGGAGCCCATAATGAGTAAACAAGGCTTGGTCATGGTGAGAAATAGATTGCCTGGGTTCCAGCTCAATTTCAGCAACTACGTGATTACAGGAAAACTGTACTACTCATACTTTTAAGTGCATTAGTGTTTCCAGCCCACCACCTCAATGTTATGCAGTATATTGTACTGCTAAATATTGAATGTTAGTTGAGTGGAATCTGTTTCTCTGTTTCCATTCACTGTACTCCCAATTTGTATCAGAATTTGGGTAGAGATAAGAAGCTCTGACAGTTTGAAAATTAATTATAATATGTTATAGCCTCATAAAAAAAATTAGATCGTAAGACACAATGCTCTCGTGGGCAGGGAGAGTTAATGCAGTAAAAATGATGGCCTTACCTAAACTACTGTATTTATTCCGAATGTTGTTTATAGATATTCCAAAAACTTTTTGTAAAAAAGCTCAAGCGATAATTAACAGCTGTATCTGGGAGAACAAGAGAGCGAGAGTAGCGAAACATACCCTATACAGACCGTTCCAGATGGGAGGGATAGGGGTACCGCACGTGGCCACCTATCGCTTAGCAGCCATACTAACCCAAGCAGTAAATCTCTATGCAGATACTGGACAATTACTTTGGGTCGACATGGAACGCAAAAAATTGCCTAGCGAGGCTCTCCTGGAGTGTATGTGGCCCCCACCAATCAAACGAGGGAAAACACGCACCCTCTTTTCCACAACAAAACTGACCGCACATATGTGGGATAGGTTTGGAGCCATTCAATCTAAAACTCCTAGATTCCATAGACTGGCTCCATTAAGTGTCATGTCCACGGTTTTACCATGGCTCCCACTATCTAAGTGGGCAGAAGCAGGCATCACCAAAATCTCCCAATTACTTACAGGTAATGAAATCATTCCTTTTGCGGAGCTCCAACAGAAGTACAGTTTAGCCCCTAGATATGTATTCCCCTACCTACAAATTAAGAGTGCACTACTAGAGCACGTAGATAGGGCTACTGAGTGCAGTGATGGGGAACCAAGTCAGAAATGCAATCTTCTTCAGACGTGTTGGAAACACCCCCTCAGACCTAAGTTACTCTCAGTGTTACAAAGCGATATCTAACTACGCAACATCCCCATGTCTGTCATTTATGTCCCAGTGGGAGAGGGAAAGCGAGAAGACTCTTACCCCCCTCAATTTGCTAATGCTGGTCAATGCACTGGCTGGACATACTGCGTGTTATTCTCACGTAGAGGCCCATAGAAAGCTGATGTACCGATGGTATCTGACACCGGACAGGCTTAATAAAATGTCGGACACAAAGAGGCACGATATGGTGGGGATGTGACCTTATTCAACCATTGTGGCTAGAGGTTATTGAGCTGCTTAACAGAGTGGGTATCAACCTCCCAAAGGAGTTTGAAGCCTGTCCATGGTTGGACCTTCCCGCCAATTGGACGAAGCAAGAGAAGGCGCTGGCCACACAAGTAATATTAGCAGCTAGGGCTCTTATAGCGATTAATTGGAAATCAGCCAAATGCCCTTCTGCAGCGAACCTTATGGACAAAGTCCGACTAAATTATGTGTATGAAATTTACTCTGCGATAACCACCAGCCAAAAATATGTTATCCCAAATCTGGGAACCACGGTGCCGCCAATACCAATTTCAGCCTCCGTACCTCACATCAACTGGACTGTGATCCAGATCAAACACTAGCTTGTTGATCAAAAAAATAAAATAAATATTCCTTGTCCCCCTGCCCTAGTCCCTACCACCGCTTATGATGAAGGCCATAGAAGCCCGGATAGGAGTGGGATAGCATGCAGTTTTTCCCCTCAAAGTTTGATTGTTTTTCTAGGTCTCTTACTTTTTCTTGTTCAGGGATCACCAAGCCGAGAGATAACCTTGGAAAATGCACGATACTTCACAGGGCACCACCCTTAAAGGGAGACTCAAGCGGCACTAACTATGTACACAGGGAGACCCACCTCAGTAGATAGACAGGGTGATATGCTACAGCACAGAGTTCACAATACCTTGAATCCTTCCGAGTGCCCAACAGTGTCAGTATAGGCAAAAGATAGGCTAACCACAGAAAATAGGTAATGAGATGTCTAGAGCATTGCCCCAACCAGCACGTAAGGGGCTGACTTTTACACTGCTTTAGCTACGGGACACACATAGAGGTTGAAGGGCGGTGAAGTAGGCAATGCACGCTCTGACATGAGGTGAGTAAAGAACACTCTCTGCCCAAAAGACAACACACACAGAAATTATGTAATCGACTTGTAATGGTGAATGTTGTTTAATGTATCAGATCCCCTGTGATGTAACCCTGAACTCCTTAACCTCCCCTCTTTTATTCTGTACCCCTTCTTTTCTTTTGTTATTGAAAACAAACTCAATTATAAAAAAAAAAAAAAAAAAATTACAGATAGTTTGGATAATTTCTTCAAAATGCTCTTGATCAGGGGTTCCCAACCCAATCTTCAAGAAATCCATAACCGAACAGGATATAAGGATTACCATATTGTGTCTAAAGTGTTTTTTTTTCCTAAAAACACTTTGGACACAACTGGGTAATCCCTAAATCCTAGACTGTTAGTCGGTACTTGAGGACCGGGTTGAGAACCACTGCTCTAGATAATCTGAACTTTTCTCTTTAAAGAGGAAACTTCAGTAACCAAACAACCTTCATACATTTCATAGCATGTGACCCCAAATAATTTGACCAGGAAGTGCTTAATCCAGGACATGTAACGCCTGAGCATATATTGAAAATTCTGATCTTCTTGAGTTTCTTAGAGGCAAACATCCTAAAAAAAAAAAACATACAATAGTGAATGAATCCCTAAATATATAGGTGCTACTATCATCTTTGTGGGCCACACAAACCACAACAGAAAATAAGTGACAAATAACAAATATCAAGTTGGTGAGAGCACATAAAATAAGAAAATACTACCCACACTGCAGTCAATCAATCTGGAAAAAACAAATAAGAGAGACATAGGGTAGTATAGTCTAGTACAATCAATTAAATGTAGGTGTCAATCTCACTCACATAGAGAGAGCCACTTAATTAGCTGGCTCAAACTGAATGCCTTGAATACACAGCAGGACCTCCTTTGGGAACTTCTAATTTCTTGATGTGTAAAACCTCCAGGATGCAGAATAGCAGGGGGTAAAAACACTTTATTCTTCAAAAGATCTTGAAGTAAATAAAAACATAAATATATGAAAAATTAAGTCCCAAAATAAGAGTCCAGTCACTTGACGCATTTCAGCTGTTTGCCTTCATCCGAAGTGATGTCAGTATCCAAGGCATCTCGATTAAAATACTTAAATTTGGCGCCCTTTCCTTCCTCCATTGAAGTTGCATCCTAAGATTGACACCTACATTTAATTGATTGTACTAGACTATACTACCCTATGTCTCTCTTATTTGTTTTTTTCCAGATTGATTGACTGCAGTGTGGGTAGTATTTTCTTATTTTGTGTGCTCTCACCAACTTGCTATTTGTTATTTTTCATCCTAAAAAATTGCGACTTCACACGTAAAAGCCAAATGGCTTACCTATAGGGATATTTTACCTGCAATGTGGCATGTCCCCAGAATGTGTTTGAGAGTGGTTACTTGCCAGCTGTGAGATTAAATCCATTAAGACGAGGATTGGGGAGTGTCCCTGTGTAGATGCATGAATTTGAGAAGGGAGATATTAATCCTACTTAGAATAGCATATACAAACTAAATGGAATTTAGAACAATTACTCCCTTTTTGGTATTGTGTATCAGCCTAGCTGCTCCCAGTAATTGTTGCTGATGTAACTGTAAGAGCACATGTCTTGGGTATTTTGGTTTCTATTTCGATTGCTTACTGCTTTACAGTGTGTCGATAATTACTGTCCTTGTACTAAAATCTAAAACTACACAATGAATTAAAACATACTTCTCTGTCTAGACACAGTTCAATCTAGATAACATTCTTTTGACACTGACAAATGGTCAACTTTAGTGATTTGTTTGTTTTCTGTTGAAAATTAGCATGACTTGTGTACAGCAGGGGATGGAGAGTTCATATAAGCTTTGTAGCCTTTCTTGTAGCTACAGGTACCAGGTTTTTTTTTTTTTGGTTTTTTTTTAAATCACATTCTAAATATGCCCACGAGTTCCAGACTATAAAATTAGAATTATATTCAGAAATGAGCTTTACATCCTTTAATTGCCATTTAGTAGTACCATTAGCCATAAATGTGTTCTAAACTAGAACAACTTTAGAGAAGTCAAAATGAATAACATTTTTGGCTTATCTTCCTTTCTGAGAAAGCATCAATGTTTTTCATGACGGAAGCTGCTCATAGCTGGGTATGGTACGCATGTGGCTTCAGTACAAGCTCTCTAGTTGAAATATTAAGACAAATTAAATTTCTACATCGATGATATAGATTTATGGCTGCCTTAGGCCCAGCCAAGTGTGAATATGTGCACTACCTCACATTTTCACCTAGCTTACATAATACATACATAGAGTCACACACAGTCTTATACATAGATCCACAATCACATATGTATAGGGTTTTGGAAAATAAAGTTAATGTTCGCAAAGTGTGGTAAGGAAAGAAGACTGAAGCCTCAGTGTTCCTGGACAATGGCTTCCTGCACAGCTAATACCATAAATTCAATTTGATGGAATCATACAGTATACAAAAATGTATATAAAGATATTTGATTTGTCTGTAATATGCTGGAAACAAATATTGTTTGGTATATAATATAAATGATCAGTAGTGGTGGATGTAACAATACCCAGTGACCACAATATTAAGAAGAAGGAACATGAGTGAAGGAGGAACTAGAAACATGTGGATAGTTGAGGAGGAGGAGTAGTAGTCCCAGTTGTGATATTGATACTCTGGGATGTAACCCCAAAGTTGGGGGCGTGGCTTCAGCAGATTTCAGGTGGAATGTCTGAGATCTCTGTCCAGAAGAGTCCAGTCCAAGGGCTGGAAAGTCCACAGGCTTCTAGCCCTTGGATAGAGGTTGCAAGAATGAAAACTACAGAAAACATACCACCTGGAGGTACTATAACTTGCAATGTATAATACTGGTTAACCTGACTGGTTTCTCATTTTATAGGTACATGGCCCCAGAGGTTCTTGATGACTCCATAAATATGAAGCATTTTGAGTCTTTTAAGCGTGCTGATATCTATGCAATGGGATTGGTTTTCTGGGAAATTGCCCGTCGCTGTTCCATTGGTGGTAAGTAAAGTTTTGCTGGTGCACATTTTAAAGGGATGTCTAAGTTAAACATTTATATTTGTTTTGCACTTGAACAAGGCAATTTAAATGAAACAAATTCAAAGCTGTGAATATCCATCCCCTTTCTTTTCCCCAGCAGAAACTTGCTTGTTCATGCTCTGCAGTGTCCAATCAAATGCTTCTCATAGTAGAGAAGCATTGTGGACACATTGAGCACATGTTGATGCTATAAAATGTAAATGAAAATAGATATTGGTTACATTATATAATATTAAATATATACTAAATGTGTGATTTATGTGGACTGTTTACAAATGTATATACACAAATCACATTCTCTCAATCATGACTGGTGAAAGGATTATTAACCTCCATTTTGATGCATTGTTTAAGCCTGTTGCGTCTGCTACACGGTGTGAGAAGAGATGTTTCTGGCTAGCTAGCTCCATGCTTTGAATGCAACCCTCTCTCACTCTCTCCCTACTGACAGATCTCCGCTGCAGTATCATCCGTGTATGAACTCAAAACACTCTTCCCCAGGCAGGCAGTACTGTCTGATACTCTGCTAGAAACTTTGTTAGAAAAATGTGAAAAAAACCCAAAACACTGAAACCCAGAAGAAAGGAATCCTTATATGCTAAATTAGTATTTATTTTCTGTTAACACTTTTTTTTTTTTCCACTTTTTTTTTAATAAAATGTACAGGAATCCATGAGGATTATCAACTCCCTTATTATGACCTTGTACCATCTGACCCATCTGTAGAAGAAATGAGAAAAGTGGTCTGTGAGCAGAAACTAAGACCAAACATTCCAAACAGATGGCAAAGTTGTGAGGTAAGCAACTCCTTAGTGATTGTGTAAAGAAAAACGATAGAAAATGACGGTTCTGATCCTCTTTACATTTATCTGAAATAGCATCTACTTTAAATTAAGACAGGTGGTTCAATTAGTGCATCAAGATTAAATTGTTTGGAGCCATTTAATTCTGTAACTAAACTTTTAATATTTGGGTATTAGAGGAATGAAATAGTGGTCTAATGAGATGCTCAGACTTTTCTTTCTCTCAGAACTATCATTATAAAATTTAAATGCAGACCATTATTATTGATTCACGAGCCACAAAGTTATAAACCTAGGGATTTGAAGGGTGATGTAGCCCCTCAAAATGGATTGTTAAATAATATAAATATAAATTAATGTTATATTTATTAAAGGACCAGTTCAGCTCAATGAAGTGGTCTGGGTGCCAGGTCTCCCTAGTTTTAACCCTGCAGCTGTAAGCATAGCAGTTTAAGAGAAACTGCTATGTTTATATTGAGGTTTAATCCAGCCTCTCGTGGCTGTCTCCCTGACAGCCACCAGAGGCCGCTTCCGCAATCCTCAGTGCGAAAATCGCATTGAGGATAGGCTGGACGTCCATATGAAAGCATTGAGTAATGCTTTTCTATGGGTGGTTTTAATGCGTGCGCGACTATAGCCACGCATTTGGAGTGGACGTCGGCAGGGGGAGCGCCGAGGGAGCCATGTGCTGGATTAAGGTAAGTGGCTGAAGGGGTTTAAACCCCTTCAGCCCAGCGGGAGGATGGTACCTAATCAGTGGTGTCTCTAGGATTCCTTTTTAGGTGGGCCAGGGACAAAAGTAGGGGGAACATTTAACCCCGCCCTTGCCGCAGTTTGACTCCGCCCCTGACACATGTTAAGTCCACACACACACTGCTGAGTCCAGACACACACACACTGCTGAGTCCAGACACACACACACTGCTGAGTCCAGACACACACACTGCTGAGTCCAGACACACACACACACACACACACACACACACACACACTGCTGAGTCCACACACACAGACTGCTGAGTCCACACACACAGACTGCTGAGTCCACACACACAGACTGCTGAGTCCACACACACAGACTGCTGAGTCCACACACACAGACCCACCCACACTGCTGAGTCCACACACACACACACAGAGACTGCTGAGGCCAGGCGCGACCGTGCGCGCACACAGACTGCTGAGGCTAGGCGCGCGACCGCGCGCGCACACAGACTGCTGAGGCCAGGCGCACACTGTTACAGCCCGAGGGAATTGAATGTAAACACATGGACAGCAAAGGGGGCCACAGCATGATGTGGGGGGCCCAAAGGGTTAAGTCCACACACACACACACACACACACACACACACACACACTGCTGAGTCACACACACACACCACACACGAGTCCACACACACACACACACACCGCCGAGTCCACACACACACACACACACCGCCGAGTCCACACACACACACACACACTCAGCTGAGTCCACCACACACACACACACCGCCGAGTACACACACACACACACACACCGCTGAGTCCACACACACACACACACACCGCTGAGTACACACACACACACTGCTGAGTCCACACACACACACACTGCTGAGTCCACACACACACACACACACACACTGCTGAGTCCACACACACACACACACACTGCTGAGTCCACACACACACACACAGACTGCCGAGTCCAGGCGCGCGACCGCGCGCGCACACAGACTGCCGAGTCCAGGCGCACACAGTTACAGCCCGAGGGAATTGAATGTAAACACATGGACAGCAAGTTGCCGGCGTTTGGGGGGGCCCAAAGGGGGCCACAGCATGATGTGGGGGGCCCAAAGGGTTAAGTCCACACACACTGCTGAGTCCACACACACTGCTGAGTCCACACACACACACACACACACACACACTCTGCTGAGTCGACACACACACACTGCTGAGTCCACACACACACACCCACACAGAGACTGCTGAGGCCAGGCGCGCGACCGCGCACACACAGACTGCTGAGGCCAGGCGCACACTGTTACAGCCCGAAGGAATTGAATGTAAACACATGGACAGCAAGTTGCCGGCGTGTGGGGGGCCTTGCCCTCCCCCCCTCCCTCCTAGTGACGCCACTGTACCTAATAACCCTATAGTGCCAGGAAAACAAGTTTTGTTTTCCTGGCACTATAGTCCTCCTTTTAGTAAATTTAACAGAATTATATCACAGTCTCTAATCAGGAAATTCAGGACTTGGGGGTCAATAAATGTATTGCTAGCATTTTCTTGTATTAGGAGTCACAAGGTTCTGATTTATTAGGTTGCAGCCCTGTTTTGATTCTCTTTGTATTCAGACAAGCAATAATACTTGCTTCAGTGGGTATAATTTAACTTAAATCTTTCACATATTTCTTCTTTTAATCCTTCTTAACTAAAGGAATTAACCCATGCATTATAAATGATTATTAAATTATGCAAAATAAGTACCATAATAGACGTATTAAAGGCACTTAAACAGCAGCACCTGCACAGAGAAGTATTACAGTTGAGCAGAAAGAATGTTCAACAGTAGGAGGCTTTTCATTTTATCCACATTATACTAGTGCCATAAACCAGGTTCTAGCAGGAGTTTATGGAATATATTATCTGCAAGCCATGGTTATGCTCTTCTAGGATAAAGGGAACTACACAGTAATCTGATAATGAAAATATCTTCCCTTTTGTCAGCCTGAGGTTTGTCTGCGTGGCGGTGAGCTGTAGTTTATATTGGTGTTTTTGCTGAATTTCAGTTGTTTAAGTTTTTACACATGGAAATCTTTCTTACAATATATTTTTTCTTGGCAGTCATTGAGAGTTATGGCCAAAATCATGCGTGAGTGTTGGTATGCCAATGGAGCGGCTCGACTTACTGCGTTGCGCATCAAGAAAACTCTCTCACAGCTAAGCCAACAAGAAGGCATAAAAATGTAATGCATCCTTTGGACCTGAAATGCATCAGCAACTTCTTTACTTGGTTTGCCTCATTAGAGGATACATTGTTCTACCTCGTTGAGGGAACGGACTAACTGCTGCCTATTTGAAGTCATAGGATGAAATCTATGCTATTTGTGTACATTCAGGAATGAGAAACTGCTTTGGTCCAGGTTGTATACTTGGATCACCATCTTCCCAGGACAATTTTGTAGATGTGTATTTAGTATTGTTTCTATTAACAAAATGGTAAAAATGAATATGCTGGTCTTAACATTTTATGTTTTCTTACCTCCCCCTATTTAAACTGCTGGAACCTTTGAAACTATTTCAGATAAGCTGTTTGAATTTCCTTTTCTTTTTAAACAAGAGTCTATTTTCTCCTTGGTCTCAAGATACTAACTATCCAAAGCCTTTGCTAAACATTTTGTAGAGGTTTGTTATGAGCACCTGTGCACATCCTACTTTTACAAAAAAGAAAAATACCTCATCCATTTGGGGATATCATTTATGCAAATCAGTTTTTATACACTACATGCCTTCAGAATTAATTGTATCACCAGTAAGTGCCACATACAGTATATTATTTTTACACCAGTTCGTAAGTTATTATGCAACATTTTGCTTAGTGTTTTTTTTTTGTACAACAAACAAAAAATGGATATTGGTTTGAAAAATATATCTTTCTGACAGTTAATCATTCTTCTGTGACAATATTTCTTCAACTATTTGTATTATATATCCTGTTGGCATACGCTGACAACAGCACCCTCTAATTTCAAAATTAAATTTTTACAGATAGCCTTATCCTGTTTTCCACACATCATTCCTAGATTTGGCTTCCTATGCACAATCAGTGGTTGATAGTTCCAATCATGTGTAGACTGCCATGGGAGGAGACCGGTTTTGTTTTTGCTTTTTAATGTTTTAGGTTATATGTATGTATGTATGTATGTATATATGTGTGTATGTATGTTACCTCTACTGAAAGGCAGAGAGGTGATAAAGTCATTGCAGTTCTGTGGAGGTTTATTAGCGCAATAATAGCGCTATAATAGTGAAAAGCAGGGAAAAAACTGACCTCCCTACCTATGACCTGCAACACCAACCAGACACTCCAGTGGTGTCTTGGGGCTTAACCTCTGTAAGACAGAGCAGATTCAAATAACACTCTTCCTGTAAGAAAATTAATTCAACAGTATAAATCTTAATTAGCACAAATAAATAATAAACACTTGAATGAATAGGTAAATGCTTATCAAACCAACTCCATAACAAAAAAGTGGTGGTCAAAAACAGAAAAACGTAACTGAAGCCAAGTGGCTAATCCTCCAAATACTCTGCTTAAAGGACCACTCTAGGCACCCAGACCACTTCAGCTTAATAAAGTGGTCTGGGTGCCAGGTCCAGCTAGGGTTAACCCATTTTTTCATAAACATAGCAGTTTCAAAGAAACTGCTATGTTTATGAATGGGTTAAGCCTTCCCCTATTTCCTCTAGTGGCTGTCTCATTGACAGCCACTAGAGGCGCTTGCGTGCTTCTCACTGTGATTTTCACAGTGAGAGCACGCCAGCGCCATAGGAAAGCATTATGAATGCTTTCCTATGTGACAGCTGAATGCGCAGCTCTTGCTGCGTGCATTCAGCCCAGGAGGAGGATCGGAGGAGGGCCCCCAGCTGGAAAAAGGTAAGTTTAACCCCTTTTCCCCTTTCCAGAGCCGGGCGGGAGGGGGACCCTGAGGGTGGGGGCACCCTCAGGGCACTATAGTGCCAGGAAAACGAGTGTTTTCCTGGCACTATAGTGGTCCTTTAAGACATTCCCTATTGTTCAGACTCTAATAATATTAATAACACAGTCAATGTCTGAAATTGCATTGTATTATATGTGTGAGCAGAGAAAAATGTCCAGACCACACTAATCTAAATACCCTTGTCTAGATATATAGCTAAAATGGTGTCTAATATCATTTGGAAAAAGCTCTCTTGGTCTAGATAAAGAGTCTTAAATTAGAATAATAAATGGAGAAGAAATCTTGTGTGGATAATTAATGTCCAAAAGCCACACAGTGAGACTGTATCTAGATATTGCTATTAAGTCTGTCAGACAAAGTATCTTCAGTCTTGGATAGGAGAATGAGGGCTAACCTTGTCAGGAAGGACTCTGATTCAGTCTGTGTAGACAATCTCTATGCAGTAAAGATCAATAAATATCAGATATTAGAATCAATACAGGGAGTGCAGAATTATTAGGCAAGTTGTATTTTTGAGGATTAATTTTATTATTGAACAACCACCATGTTCTCAATGAACCCAAAAAACTCATTAATATCAAAGCTGAATATTTTTGGAAGTAGTTTTTAGTTTGTTTTTAGTTTTAGCTATGTTAGGGGGATATCTGTGTGTGCAGGTGACTATTACTGTGCATAATTATTAGGCAACTTAACAAAAAACAAATATATACCCATTTCAATTATTTATTATTACCAGTGAAACCAATATAACATCTCAACATTCACAAATATACATTTCTGACATTCAAAAACAAAACAAAAACAAATCAGTGACCAATATAGCTACCTTTCTTTGCAAGGACACTCAAAAGCCTGCCATCCATGGATTCTGTCAGTGTTTTGATCTGTTCACCATCAACATTGCGTGCAGCAGCAAACACAGCCTCCCAGACACTGTTCAGAGAGGTGTACTGTTTTCCCTCCTTGTAAATCTCACATTTGATGATGGACCACAAGTTCTCAATGGGGTTCAGATCAGGTGAACAAGGAGGCCATGTCATTAGATTTTCTTCTTTTATACCCTTTCTTGCCAGCCACGCTGTGGAGTACTTGGACGCGTGTGATGGAGCATTGTCCTGCATGAAAATCATGTTTTTCTTGAAGGATGCAGACTTCTTCCTGTACCACTGCTTGAAGAAGGTGTCTTCCAGGAACTGGCAGTAGGACTGGGAGTTGAGCTTGACTCCATCCTCAACCCGAAAAGGCCCCACAAGCTCATCTTTGATGATACCAGCCCAAACCAGTACTCCACCTCCACCTTGCTGGCGTCTGAGTCGGACTGGAGCTCTCTGCCCTTTACCAATCCAGCCACGGGCCCATCCATCTGGCCCATCAAGACTCACTCTCATTTCATCAGTCCATAAAACCTTAGAAAAATCAGTCTTGAGATATTTCTTGGCCCAGTCTTGACTGTGTCCAGTCTTGACTGTGTGTCTTGTTCACTGGTGGTCGTCTTTCAGCCTTTCTTATCTTGGCCATGTCTCTGAGTATTGCACACCTTGTGCTTTTGGGCACTCCAGTGATGTTGCAGCTCTGAAATATGGCCAAACTGGTGGCAAGTGGCATCGTGGCAGCTGCACGCTTGACTTTTCTCAGTTCATGGGCAGTTATTTTGCGCCTTGGTTTTTCCACACGCTTCTTGCGACCCTGTTGACTATTTTGAATGAAACGCTTGATTGTTCGATGATCACGCTTCAGAAGCTTTGCAATTTTAAGAGTGCTGCATCCCTCTGCAAGATATCTCACTATTTTTGACTTTTCTGAGCCTGTCAAGTCCTTCTTTTGACCCATTTTGCCAAAGGAAAGGAAGTTGCCTAATAATTATGCACACCTGATATAGGGTGTTGATGTCATTAGACCACACCCCTTCTCATTACAGAGATGCACATCACCTAATATGTTTAATTGGTAGTAGGCTTTCGAGCCTATACAGCTTGGAGTAAGACAACATGCATAAAGAGGATGATGTGGTCAAAATACTCATTTGCCTAATAATTCTGCACTCCCTGTAGTCTAGATACCCCTGTCTCATTAAGCATACTCACAATACTGTGAGTGCTTTTCCATTAAGTGAAAGTATAGACTGATTAGAAGGAATAAAAAAGGAAACAATAGAATTAAGTGCTAGAGTGCAGAACCATGCTTAGAATGCTGGTTACCTGCACTTGTGTGATAGTGCCCTGTGAAAACATAGAAGGTGCACATCCAAGGCTCCAAAACGCGCCTTGGGTTTTTCTATGTTTTCACAGGACACTCTATCACACAAGTGCAGATAACCAGCATTCTAAGCATGGTTCTGCACTCTAGCACTTAATTCTATTCTTTCCTTTTTTTATTCCTTATCAGTCTAGACATTCACTTAATGGAGAAGCACTCACAGTATTGTGAGTATGCTTAATGAAACAGGGGTATCTAGACTATTGATTCTTATATCTGATATTTATTGATCTTTACTGCATAGGGATTTTCTACACAGACTGAATCAGAGTCCTTCCTGACAAGGTTAGCCCTCATTCTCCTATCCAAGACTATAGATACTTTGTCTGACAGACTTAATATCAATATCTAGATACAGTCTCACTGTGTGGCTTTTGGACATTAATTATCCACACAAGATTTCTTCTCCATTTATTATTCTAATTTAAGACTCTTTATCTAGACCAAGAGAGCTTTTTCCAAATGATATTAGACTCCATTTTAAGCTATATATCTAGACAAGGGTATTTAGATTAGTGTGGTCTGGACATTTTTCTCTGCTCACACATATAATACGATGCAATTTCAGACATTGACCGTGTTATTAATATTATTAGAGTCTGAACAATAGGGAATCTCTTAAGCAGAGGATTAGCCACTTGGCTTCAGTTACGTTTTTCTGTTTTTGACCACCACTTTTTTGTTATGGAGTTGGTTTGATAAGCATTTATCTATTCATTAATTTGAGTGTTTATTATTTCTTTGTGCTAATTAAGATTTCCAGCTGGCACTCTACTGTTGAATTCATTTTCTTACAGGAAGAGTGTTATTAGCGCTATAGGTTGTCTGTCTATCTGTGAATTGAACATTGTTCTAACTTCATATGTTTGATACCTGTTATACTATTAAGTGTTTTGCTTTAAAGCTTTCTTTTTGCCCCTTGCAACATGAAACCTTAAACACCAAGTGTCTGGTTGCAGAATGACCAAGAATAGCTGAAAATTCCTTTTTTTTTCTTCTTCTTTTTTTTAAAGTTTTTAGTTCACATATATGAAATAGGGACTGTATATGAAGTTATTGCAAACCTAATTAATTAACTTTGCATGGCTAGTTGTTCGCCTTTACAAGTGCTTTGTTCCCCTTAATGTAGTGTTGGTGTTTTGATTTTTAGTCTGAATAGATACATGCAAACAGATGCCCGACCATGCTGTAAAACATTTATTTATAAACAATCCACATAACTCTTCCTCGGCTGTATCATACATACACTTAGCATTCTTTATGGAAAGTACAGAGCAGTGAATAGAGGAAGAAGGCATGCGTGTTTTGTAGAAAATGAAAAACCTTGAACTTTGCATTACTAGAGGTGTTCTGGAGATGTAAAAAAACCATGAAACCAAAAGTAGAGTAGTTTATGGGTGTTTCAAAAGATTTAGACATTTTATTTCCCATAGTACACTGTGTCTTCTTGTGTTGCAACATTTAAAAAAATATAAATAAATTTCTTGCTGCCTTGGAGTGTAACAGACACACAAGTACATATACACACTTGACTGTTTCTTTGGGCAGCACATTTGAATATATATCTATATATATCTCTAACCTGCCCAAAATTAATAGGTCACATTGCTTTCCACTGTAAGCATCCAATATATTCAGCTGCCTTCATTATTTCAGTTCCTGTCCCTTTACTGTAATGCTGTGAAAACTTTCTGAGGCAAAAGACAGTGGGGGAAATTTATCAATAGGTCATAGGTACCTTTATGTCTGATTTTTTGACAATATTTTGTGCAATTTATTATATTTTTGTTTTCATTTGTCGCTTTTTTTTTTGCACTCTAACCATTCTTTTTCTTTGTGTGTGTGTGTGTGTGTGTGTGTGTGTGTGTCTCTTTTAGAGGAGGAATACTATAACCACAGTATTACAATACAACATATATAATTTGAACCAACATTTTAAAGGAGATTTATGAAATTATTAATACCGTTTTTATTTTTGAGTGTATATTTATCAAAGGAATAAGTATGTTTTTACTTATCTAATGCTTTGTGTGTATGTTATACATACACATACATATTATATATAACCTTTTATAAAAAATCCTGTTATATGTGACAAGTAGGGAAATATAGCAGTTGACAAAAAACAAATCTCATTGTCATGGAATATTCAGTGGGCCTAGTGTCTTTTTTTTTTTTTTTTGGCCGATAAAGCTTGTCATTTATATAGGGGTGTGTATGCCAGTGGTCCCAAGATGATGTAGGACTTCAGCTTGGTTCTAAGGCATATTAATTACCATTTGGTCACCCCTAATGTATGTATGTATATAAGGCTTTAAAGGAACATTCTAAGCACCATAACCACAAAAGTGTGTGCCAGAGGTCCACTGGGCTCTATTCCTCTCCCTTTTTAGAGCTGGTGCAAGAGTAAGCTCGTTGGCTACTAGTGATCTGAAACCTTACAGAGCAGGGCTGGCTCCTAGGCTAACTCAGGAGAGCTAACAGAAGCACATAGCAGGAGCTTCCAGCTCTCAGGCCAGAAAGTAAGGTGCAGGGAGAAGTCATGGTAAGAAGTCAAACAGAAAATGGCTTGACCATTTACAATTTAGGGGGGAAGGGGGATGCAAATAACCATTGCTGCACACTGTGGTTGTTATGGTTGCTTGGTGTTTTTTTTTTTTTTCTAACTGGGACACTTATGGATCCTCAAACTATAATCTTTTTCTAGTTTTAAAATAAATTAATTTTGTGGAAAACATTTCAGGTCCCTACCTGTGTTCTATATCAAGATGATACACAGATGTGATTCCAGGTTTCCTCCAGTGGTTTACAGTAATTTTAGGCTGTACCCAATCAGTCCCAGTGCCTATAGTCAGAATTGCCACTAAATAAAATAGTTTGAATTGTGTGTGCGTGTGCAATACAGTGCATACATACATGTATTGTTTGTTCTTACTATCCTTTCTTAAATGCATAATGTGTTAGCGCTTCTAATTATGAGGAATTTTTGGTGGAGTACACATGCGACCGTAAACATATTATGCAAAAAGTTCAGCCTTCTATTGGACTTTGACATGACTGTATGCGTGTTTTTAATGTATTTTGTTATGTTTCGGTACATTTGTATACATATATGTGGACATATTGACATGTTTCCAAAATCAGACCAAAATGTTCCTAAAGAGGAGCTAATATGCAAAACAGGAACTAGATGGTGGGCAGTCACAAATCTGGGAAATGTGATGCAAGGTAGGAAACACACCTCAATCTTCCATACTGCTGATATGAAATCTAGAGAACCCAAATTACTTTTGATCATGTGTTTATATATATATATATATATATATATATATATATATATATATATATATATATATATATATATATATATATATATATATATATATATATATATTTACATGGGTTTTGTGTATATACATATATATTTTTGACTATAGGTGTCTGCCTGTACTAGGTTAATGTAGTGATGCATTTTCGCTTTATAAGTTCAGTTAATGTATTTTGTACCGACCATTACTTTTATGTAGCATTCAGTCATCAAAATTGAAGTGCCAATTAATCAATTCCAAAATAGTCTGCATCACTATTTAGAGATTTGTGTTTGTTTTTGTTTTTTTAAATAAAAACTATTCTAAATGTTAATTTTCCTTAATTTTTCTTGTTGAGTAAACAGTGTTATAATGGAGTAAGCAAAAGTGTTTTATTTTTGTTTGTTTTTATTTATGCATAAATGATAAATGTTCTGTTATCCTATAGTTTAATTCTTGCACAGTAGTGAGTGTGTTTTTATTATTTGTAGTAAATTGCTCTAATTTATGTACATAGTGTAAGGACCAATAAATATCTTATCACATGCGCAGAATGTTCCTATTTAAATTACCAAAATATTTGATTTTTAAGCTTTCTTTTGTAATTTCACTTGGATGTTTATAGTATAAATTCTTCAAAATGTAAAATATTTTTACTTTTACAAGCTAGATACAGGTGTGGTTCATCCACATTTATATCTAAAAGAGGCACTATGTGTATAACCATTTCAGCTCATTGTACTTTAAATGGTGCGAAGATCCATTGAAAAAACATGGGGACAAAATACAATTTTCAAATAGTTTGATAAAGACCACTGCTCTTCTGGAACCTACAGCATAGCCCCTCTGCTAGAATTTGGCTAATACAGGAGTGCACTAGCCCATCCGACTGTGTCAGCTTGGAGCAGGTTAACAAAACACATATTTCAGTTATTATGCTGATGAATATAAATATATTTGCTTCTTTGAAAATTGTAATTATAATGCCATGGCAAACTGTCATGATTTATTGTATATGCTTAGTGTACAAAGGATTATTGTGAAAGTATCTTAATTTTATTGTCCAAATTCAAATATCAACTTTCCATGGAGATTATTCTACAGTGCATACCACCAATGTCAGTAATTTGCTACATAACATTCTAGATGATAAAATCATGTTGTTTAACCCCTTAAGGGTACGTGACATGTCATGATTCCCTTTTATTCCCGAAGTTTGGTCCTTAAGGGGTTAAAGCACCTTTTCATTAATTTCACAATGCTGGATATCCCCAATATGAAATGTCATACAGCACTAGCATTTTAACTTTGAAAATAATATATTTCTTACTTTTTTTTAAATAGGATACTACACTTTTCAAGAGTTGGTAATACATTCTTTAAGTAAAGTCTGACCAATTCTTTAACACACTTTATATATTTCTTTTTACAATACATTCAGGATGCTGGGACGAAAATTGATTGTAGCAAACCTAATAAGGAAAAGTTTCTCTAGTAACTTTTATATTTCTCTGGACTGTGCCATATAATGCATTCCTTTAATTCCTGTAGTGCCATCACAATTATGAAATATTTTAACAATCTCCGCAAACTCTAAAGGTGTCTTTACCTCGTGTACATAACTATTTTAATGCATTCATTTGTTACACTGCTGTTCTCTGTATATATATATATTCTAAGATTGGTATTCTATTTCCTATATCAAAACATTATGCATTTAATTTAAATCAGTTTGTACTATAGCAAACCGTTTATTTTGTATGCGGCACATCTTTTCAATAATGTTGCAATGAATGCCTTGAATAAAAAAAATTCTGCATTATAAATTTCAAATTCTCTTACATTGTTGGATTTTTAAAGGAAAAAAAAAGTTTTCAGGTCATTTCTTAAACAATGTGTTAGAACAAACACCACAATATGTTGTAAATAGGACATGGCTATGAGAATGTTGAGTGCTAACATAGTAATGTAGATTAAATAAAGCGATTCAAATATTGTTACTGCCAGTGTTGTCCAATTCCTTTTTAAGAAAGTATATTCATTACTTACATTTATACAAGCAAATTGTTGAAAACTGTCAAAAAGCATGCTGACAATTGCAATAAGGTTTTCTGTCACAGAACAGGATTACCCTGAGCAATCTTCCAATGAAGAGCAGTATTGGCTGAAAATGCTTTGCCATTGTGGAGTAATTGTATGTATAAAAACCCACTTCTGATGAACAAGGCCTGTCAGGATGGATTCAAATCAGGCTTTTTGTGTGAGAGTCTTTCATGGGTGAGCAAAACAGCACCTCAAAACCAGCATCTAGTGCTCATCCTCAACAAATAAAATGATAAACCCCAGGAATTTCAGACACATATGCTTAGTAAAGTGGATTCCACCAGCACATCTAACAAAATTCCTGCATTTCTGACCACAGAAGCCACTTGAGAAATCCATTAGGAACCTTCTCCGTACTGAATACCTAAAGTAACATGCTTGAAGTGACACTGTTAGAGGTTTGGTTCATGACCTAGTACGCGTGGGAAGGTTACAGCTACAGCTCAGTAACCCTGCAAGGTCATGAACTAAACCTCTAACAGCGTCACTTCAAACGTGTTACTTTAGGTATTCAGTACGGAGAAGGTGACATAAAATCTTCTAAAACAGAGTAACAAGATCAGGGTGGGATAAGATTCTCTTAACACTCAGGGTCTCCGCTCAAATTTTGTGTGATTTCTTAATAAAAGAACAGGTTCAGATAGGATGTATTCAAGAAACTCATTGGAGTTTCAAGGATAAGATCAATTTAAAAAATAAAAATGTCCTATTATCAAATCTTCTTTGTCAGAAAAAAAGAGGGGTGGCCGTTTTCTTTTTTAGAAGGATATCTATTTAAATATTAAGATATTGACAAAGAGGGAAGATGGATTATTTTAATATGCAAAATAAAAGGTAAAACCTATATGATCGCCAATATCGATGTCCCAAACCACTCACCAGTCAGATGTATTGACTGATTTGTAAGACTCGAAGGATGGCATCCTTGATGTATATTTGGAGGATCTTCCATCCTGAGGAAAAGGATTTCACTTGTTTTACTAAAAGACATTGTGCTTATTTTAGGATTTATTATTTCTTAGTTGACGCAAGGATGGCAGAATTGACAAAATCATCAAGGATAATAACCATAGCGTGGTCTGACCATAATGCAGTATATTTGGAATTGAAAAACAATTCTGTGCGACAAGATCAGACTGGAGGTTACAGGGGAGACTACTTCTGCCGGAGGGAAATAATAAATACATTGCAGATATGATGGCACAATATTTCTTTGAAAAATTTTAATTCTGGAATTTCTCCAGATATTAAATGGTGCGCATTTAAATGTGTCAGTAGTAGGCACTTGATAAAACTGGCAGCACCGTGGCACAAAAAAAAGAGAAGAAAGCCTCTCACAACTATGTTGAATTAGCTCAATAAAACAATGAAAGCAAATCTATATTTTCAAAGGAGACTACAGAAGATAAAATAAACTGAATCTAAAATCCATGAACAATTAATAGAGCTAACAAAATTTTTAGAAATTTTAAAATCAAATTATTATTCTAGAGGCAACAAGGCAGTGTTCAATAGTGATGTATGTTAAGAGGTGCATTACCACTGGAAAGGAGAGGCCCTTAGACATGTGGAACAAAGAAAAGGTTGTGGTGAAACATCACAGAGAAAGTAGAAGATCTAAGAATTAACTTGTATTGCTGAAATTTAAAATAGTAAATCCCTCCCTGGTACTGGGATTCTAAACACCATGTGATACCAAAAGGGGGGTGTCTACTCCAACATAGAACACTAAACAAAGATAATGATAATGTTCAACAACAAAAAAAGACTTAAAGTGGAAAACCAAAATTGATTTGTACTTCTAAGATACAGATTATGTCTGAGAGAGATTGCAGCTGAGATACATAGTATGTCTGATGGAGATTGCAACAATTTTTAGAATTTCTTAAATACTGCAGTTTCTCATAACCAATATTATGATATCCCAAATACAGATATGTGAATCAGTGCAGATGCTGTTAACTGGTAAGTGTATTACAGTTAGAACAATAAAGTCTTGAAGAGACTATATATAGTAGTGAAGATATTAAATAATAGTAATATTCAACAAAAAAGACATAAAAATAGAAAGCCAAAATAAATTGGTACTACTAACTGAGATACAAAGTATGTCTGAGAGTGATTACAACGATTGGTAGGGTGTCTCAGAGATTACAATTTCTCATCACCGTATATTCTGTGATTTGCCAGATACAGCTAAATGAATCCGCGTGAAAGCTGTAGCTGGTAATTCCTTATCAGTCAGAGCAATGACTGAGAGAGATTGCAACACTTTGTAGAATTTCTAAGAAGTTAGTTTCTCATAACATAGTATTCTATGATTTTCCAAATACAGCTAGATGAATCCTTGTGGAAGCTGTTAACTGGTAATTGTTACTGCAATAAAGTCTTGAAAAAACTATATATAGTAATAAAAATTGTGGGAACAGATTCTAAGGTATAGTGCGGGAGAGAGTGAGTGGGGGTATCCTAATTTTTATTCTGTGGGTAAATATTAATGTTCACGGGAGAGAGAGTGAGTGGGGGTATCCTAATTTATATGCATATGATGTTATCAGTTCAAGGCAAGCAGGGAGGGTGTAAATGTCGGTTGGTCCCTCTTATAGTCTAATGTATTTAAAACTGTATGTCCCTACATATTTAAAAGCCGGCACTTGTTCCCGCCACGTTGTTAGCCCCAGGTAGTACAATAAGGCAGCAAATCGCTCAGTTGAAGCCTATCCCCCACACATCACTAAAACCCAGATTAAATATAGTGCTAGCATGCAAAGGAATATCTAAATGATAGTCTAGGGAAATTAAGTAACATAAATCCCTATTGGACCAGAAGTACCTGTCACGACAAGAGTGCATAATTCGTTATTGCACTATGGAATATTATCCTTTAATGTAATTTGTGTAGTGCCTGCCTGGTAGAGGTGGTATTGTCAATGTCAAAAGGGGTTAATTTAATTGTATGGAAGGTTTATAGCCTTCATTCCTCTTTGAAGCTGGGACTCCCACAGAGGTCAGATGACAAAAGGTAATGTAAACTGCATATGCATGTAAAAAAGGGAATGATGTATCCTGTGATTAATCAAAGGCTCTGCCAGGTGTGAGATTCTACACTTGAAAAGCCTGGATGTCTGGCTTCAGCCATATGGCCTGTACTTTTTAATTGATGAGTCAATCTCTTTGATATGTTAATAGCCATTAGCCTTGTTTCAATATCATATCCAAAAGAAAAAACATTAATATTTACCCACAGAATAATAATTAAGCCTCGTTTCTATTATGTTTGGAATCTGACAAGCTCCATCATCTAAACAAGCCCAAACATGTTTGGCGTAACTTAACCATAGGGGAAGGGATTGTGATGTCCGCTATATTGGGTCGCAAGTAAGGTGTGTGACATATCTATGGAATGGAAAGAATAATAAATTCAGAGATGCAATTATTATTTCCGTGGCAGGTACATAAGAGAAGATAGAACCAAATGTTTCCACTTGAATTGATGTGGGTCTGGACACAAGGGGGTGGTCACTTAGTGTCTTTATAGATACGCTTTAACTCCACCTCTGGGTGAGGCATGGTAATCCACAGGGTATATCTCTAATGATACTGAAGTGTGCATTGTACTTGCTTGAGGAGCCAGAATCTAATTCTAAGTGAATCACCATCTTTCCTACCAGAGACCCCCTGGGGCAGAAGTATTTACTTTGAAGAGCTGAGTAAGTGATTATGACTTTCTGTTATTTTATCCCTTTTGTTTTTATCTGTTGTTGGTGTAAATAATTTTGTTTGTCATTTATATTTTTGTATGCACCGTGACTATTTTTTGTTCATAATAAATATTCCTTTATTAAGTTCTGCCTTTGTCTAGTAAAGAATCACCTGAAGAGACTGAGTATTTTTGCAATTCCTTGAATATTGTGCTAAGTTATATTTGTTTTTTTTTTATTTTTTTTTATTATTGATTTACCTGGGGACCAAGGCACCCCATTTATAAATTGTTTTGGTGATGGCAGCATTAAAATAGTAATATTTATATTATTATGCTTAAGTGTGGGTGGTGTTAAGTGGGATTTTATCATTATTTTCGGTCTAGTGCAGACAAATAGTGAACTTTAACCATTTCACCACCACAACTACGAGACGCACACTCTTGAAGTAGTGTGCGTTCGTGACAGTACCAATTAATTTTGGTTTTCCACTTAATGTCTTTTTTTGTTGAACATTATCATTATCTTTGTTTTGTGTTCTATGTTGGAATAGATACCCCCTTTTTGTATCACATTGTGTTTAGAATCCTTGTACACGGAAGGGTTTCCTATTTTAAATTTCAGCAATAAAAGCTAATTTTTAAATCTCTGACTTTCTATGTGATGTTTCACCACAACCTTCTCTTTGTTCCATCTGAAGGTACCATCTCTACGTAAAAGCAAAAGATTGTTTTTGATACATATTATAATAGTTTTCTATTTCTATTTCAGCTCTAAAGCCGAAAACTGGTAAGATTGAATTGTGGTCACAAATGAAAGAGCGGGTCAAATTTCAGTGCAAAATGAAACAGGAAATTGCCTCTAATTTTTGTGTTAATCGAGAGAAATACTGTATCTGGGACAATTGGTTAACTATCTTAGGGTCAACGTCATAACAGGGAGTTGAGACCCAGAGCTTATTTGAGTTGATAGTATACTATAGTCTCCTCTATACGGCCTTGCCCTCCTACACTGTCCTAAGGCAATTTAGGTAATTTAGTTATCTTCACATTGTATGTCCATATATATGTCTATAATTAGTATGTAATCTTTATATAACTTATAAGATAATGAATAATGTATGTATTTGTATTTTGAAAACCAATAAAATTTATAAAGAAAAAAAAATCAGGATGAAATAATAGTCTCCTCTGTGT